CTTAAGTGTGAGATATTACAAAGATGCCCTAAGTAGGGCGGCAACTCAACCTAARTAATTACAACTCTTTAAAAAATAAAGACTAATGGGCCCAAGGCCCAACAACATCTTAATTTAAAAGGAAATAAACTAAACACAAATCGGCCCACTCAACATCTTTCATTCTTCTCTTCTGCATAACAATGATTTCATCCATTTAATACATAGAATAAATGTACTTAAATTGTTTTCAATATTTTTCTTTCAAATGGTCCGAATGCTAAGTCAGGGTATCTTTTAGATGTCAATCCTAGGGCCCACTATCAAGATGAAATTACCACTGGCAACTGACAAGAACTCTTGCAACCAAGTATGGTGACAAATTAGCTTCTAATATCGTAGAAAAATGTAAAATAGAAGCAAGTTACCCTTCTTAAATTGAACAATTCAACCTGGTAGCTAAGTTAACCACTATTCATGGTGGCTCAGTTGGTAAGTTCTCTGCCTAGTTGTAGTGGAGAGGTAGCCCTATGAATCAAATAAATAAAGGTCAAAGATCAAAGGTGAAGTAGGATAGGAAGGTCAAAGATGAAAAGTCATACTACAATGTATGTGATGTGTAAAGAAAGAAACCAAATCTAATATAGGAAACTTAGAAGAAATAACACAAGGGTGTACATTGTGTTTAAACAAAGGAATCAGATCTAATATACAGGAAACAAAGGAGAAATAGAGGGTTTTCAGATCTAAAATAAAGAAGAAAATAGATACGTATACGACAAGAAAAACCACGCAATAGGGAGGGGGTACCAGATTAATATCACCCACATTACAAAATTGACACTGAAACAATATCTGTAGAAACTTGGTTTCTTCTTTCATGTTCTTTTCTTTGCTTCCATATCTGCATAACCAGGATTTTCCTCAGAATACACAAGCACTGATTATCTAGAATACCTTGCAATGAGATTACAAAATCTGAAAAAGACAAGTTCTAGAAAGAAGATTATATTGGGTTCTCCTCAAACCTTTGGCAACATGAAAGCTTTTAGTGGTACGTACCTGACATGGAAATACATACAAGGCTTCTCCTCACAAGCATAAATAGTTGAAAACTGGTAATTGTGGCTTTGTTGGCACAAATATTCTCAAACTAACTCAACAAAGCCTCATCCTAACTACTTGAGGGTAGCAATATGAATCATGAGTTGCCATTCTACACCATCAAGATGCTATCATCTATCTGTTTTTTCTCATGACTTCAAACTTTTTCCTTTCTGGCCTTCACCTTGCCCTTTTAGAGCTTCAAAATTGCACCAATAGCTGTCAACCTTCTACTGTGATCACCCCCAACTTCTCATAGATACACTCATTTTCTAATTATAAATCCTATCATAATACCACATCCATCTCAGTACCCTAACAAATACTATGCTCATGTTGGGAAAACTGGCTTAGGAAAAGAGGAAGAACAGCATGAATAGCTTTTCAAGGAGAGACCAAAGTAGCACTAGGAGGTACACTAGGTTGGTAGGAAGAAGACATTGGTTTGTGGAGTTGTAACAATGAATGGAAAAAATTCAATTGGCTGAGTAGGGACATTGAGGTGCAATACAGCTGGGTAAAGAGGACTGCTAACTCATTTGCAAATGGGTTAGCCAAGAAAGGGGTGAATAGGGAATCTCTGTTTTGGGCTAATTTTTAACTTTCTTCCAATGTATTCTGTTGGTGGGGAGTTAGGACATTTTACCTCCCCCCTTTGTAATTAAAGTTTCACAAAGCTTCACATCATTAATAAAGTTTTTTTGTTACTGATCAAAAAAAAGGTACACTAGGTTGGTGAGTTACCTCTCAAAGATGCTTTCCCTAATCTTTATGCTATTTCTCTTTTCAAAAACGAGCCCGTCTCAAATTTTTATTCCTCGATTGATGGGATTGCATGGGTGGTTTTTAGAAGAGGGTTGAGGGAGAATGAGTGTCCTTTGGTTGTAGAGTTATTGTAAATCCTTTTACTCAACAGTAGTATATCCTTCCAAGCTTGATGGGAGGATTTGAACACCCCACATGCAAGGTCGTTTCTCTTGTGCTTTCTTTTTCCATACTCTCATTACACAAATACTTGGTTCTCTTCATTCCCAGTGCATGAAGTCCAGTGTAGGCCTGTACCACCAAAAATAGAGGTTTTTTGTTGGGAGGTTTATCATGGAAATCAATACCCAAGATGTTTTGCAAAAAAAAGAAGAAAAAAATGCCTGTTTACCACCCAAATTGGTGCACTCTACAAGGCTAATGGTCAAACCAATTACCACTTATTAATTTCCTGTTCATTTGTTACCTCTATTTGGTGGGGGTTCTTTTCTCTTTTTGGGTGCAAGTGGACCCTACTTATGAGCTTGGATAGTTTGTTTGAGGCAGAAACTTTCAGATTGCCAAGGAGAAAAGGAAGGATAATGTGAAGATGTACACAAGCTGCATTATTATGGAAATTTTGTGAAGAAAGGAATGCAAGAATTTTCAAGGAAGAGGAAATAAGCATGAAGGCAATCTTGGAATGCATCATGACAAGGGTGGTTCATTGGGTGAAATCTTTGGACCTTTTTCATCTTATGAGATGATATTGAATTGGAGGGAAGTGGCTACTATGCCAACAATGGAGACTTTAAAAGATTGGAATCCACCTGAATATACTTTATGGATTTCAAAAGGCAAAAGAACTGAACATATAGAGATTGATAATTTAGGGATAAGGATGGAAGTATAATAGCTTTGTTATCGGCTTAGGAGTCTCTTGGCTGCCACCACTGCCCTACATTACATATAATTGACATTGAATAATTATTTTATGCAATAGAAGTACCAATTATCATGCAAACATTATAAGTGGGATGAGACACAAGAAGTTTGTCAGTTACCCCAAATTAATGTCAACATAGTCACAATGAGGTTCCACCATTCGTGCAGCTTCCAACAAGATATCTGGGTCATTGGCACAAAATTGGACAAATAATGGACGATCCTCCTGAAATTGTTATAAGAGTTAACATGAACTCAGAAGCCTCTTCTAATAGATATCCAAAAGATTTTATAACACAAAAACAAAGAATACAAATCTGTGATAATCATGGTCTGTGAATGACTGAAAAAGGATGCCATAGTCTGTCATAAAATATCATATACATTATTTATCAATCCACACACAACAAACCCAACCATGAGATATCAAAAAGCCCATCCACCACACCAAAAGGATGTGCTATGACTCAAGCCAAACCACTGACATAGCCAAGGCAGCTAAGTCTAGCGAGGAGAGTGAGTGTAACCCCACCTTGCTAACTGAACGACTCGAAATTCTTTAAAATCATATATATAAAAAAACTCCCCCTTCAGGGAAGAAGGCCCAAATCCTTGCTAATTGACTGTCTTGCAGAAACTTCAATAGTCACTTCCTTATCAAGTCTAATTGTTTCATTCAATTTCTTTTTCTCAACCAAAAAAAAAAAAAAACATCAGAATCTCTCATTTCCAGCCACAGTAATACATTCATCGGAAGGAAGGTGTCTGAACCCTCCTTTTAGGAGCAGAATTTTAACAATTTACTCAAAAAAAAAGTTTGATTATTTGCACTCAGCAAATTCTTGTTAAGGGGATTCATCCCAGTTTTTGTCATGACATTTATCCCAGTTTACTTCCATATCAGAGCATTGCAAGTTCCACCACATGATAGATCCAGTTGCATAATCAGAACCATAACACTCAACATAAGCAACTACATCAAGACATTCACGACTAAAAGTGGGCGAGACAAAAACTTTAGCCCCTGTTTAGAACGGCAGGAAACGCACCTTGCAGGTAGTGAATTCCTGAGTCCGATACTTTTCGTTCTCCGAGAAGATACGGGAATGCAACATGGGCGTGTAGGCGGCACCGGCGCCGTACTTGCGACAAAGCATTCTGAAAGGGAGCTCCGAGTTGTCTACCATCGGGGCAACCATCAGCTTGGGTTGCCCCAGTTTCTTCCAGTGAGTCCACGCTCGGTCAATACGCCACTCTCCGTTCAAGCAACGGGCGGGAGAGCCCAACGAAGACGACGGGGATGGGGATTCAGAAGACATTGGCAACGCCGCAGAAGATGAAGATGAAGAGCAATTTTGCTGGAGTGAAGAACATCCGGAAGTGGCTGCGCAGAGACGGTCGTCTGGATCTTCGTGGGAGTCGGTTTGAGTACTGAGAGTAGCCATGAAAGATGGGAATATATTGGAGGAGAGAACGAAATAGATGGGATGTTTGAGAGACGAATTAAATCCAGAAAAGGAAGAAGGAGAACGGGGAGTAAACTTCATCAGCGGACGATGGGTTCAACACCCATCGCCGCTGCCGCTGTCGCAAGCCAACAAGGATGTCAGAGTTACATCCGGCGTCCCTCTCTTGCGCTTAAGTCCTCTTCTCATTTCGCGTTTGGGACCTTTGGGTTATTCCTGGGAAAGAAGAGCTAACGAGATGGAATGGAATAGATGCAAACGCTGCCCACTCTTGGATTAGAATCTTGTTATCCGGATACGGGATACCTGATGGGAAGAGATCGGCATGTGTAGGGCTGTGAGAACGGTAACCGATTGTCTGGACTCTGAATTCGAATTCGATCCCTTAATGATCCGAGCTCGATCCGTTTGTAATTGGATCAATTACGGTCCACCCCTACCCGATTCCATTTAAATATACATTATTATATTTATTAGTAGAATTGTTTTAAATAATTGTATTTTTACTAAATTGTCATAAGTTCGAATTTCATAAAGTAATTTTTAATTTATTTTATTTACAGAATACAATATCATTCATTTTTAGTTCATTTTATTAATAATATTTAATATTTTGATTATATCATTTTTAATTTAATAATTAAAAAATTATATGATGCCGAAAAGACTTGATACTAGAATAGCTTTCACCAATCAAAACTTTTCGAGTTCTTCCAGCATCATAATCGGACCCTTAATTTATTTATATTAATTCAATATTTTATTTCAATCTGAATTCGATTTTCAAATCCGATGAGTAAGATCCGATTCAAACTTCAATATAAATGATATCTTCATATCCGATTTGATTTCATCCTTTTGCAACTTTAGTCATAGTGGACTTACAATAACTACCCACAAAATAAAACCACAATGTCTCAATAAAATCTAATAGCAATAAAAATAAATAAACACAAGTATCATCATGAACACAAAGAATATGTAAGTACATTTACCCACATAAATGTTTTTTAGGTAACACTTACTTGAGTAAGTTCATTTACGCATGTTCTTTTAGTTCCAAAATAAATAATATAATGATTTTCTTATCTATAAAAAGCTAATTTAAAATAGACAAACTTGTCCTATTACATTTTATAAACTTTTTCCCTAGATGGAAATGTTACTTATCCATCCAAGAGATGGATAAGTTTTACCCGAGCAAATGAAACTAACTTTACCATAGGCTCAATACTTATTGAAAAAATAACACTGTAAAGTTGGTCAATGGGTGTCACTTTTCCATTGACCAACTTTTCCCCTCTTATTTATCAGAAAATGAACGGGGCCTTAATGTTTACATTCACGAGAGAAATGAAAATTGTTTTTCACTATGAAAGAGAATGAAAATATTACATTATATATTGCAACTTGCAACGCAAACCAACCCTTATACACCCATTGTCCCTTTCCTCTCTCAACCCAAAGAATAAAACAAAAGGAAGAAAAAAAATCAAAGGCACACTTATACCAAGAACACATTTCTTCTCTCAACTTCTCTTTTTTCCTCTTTAACAAGAAAAAGAACAAATTTCTCTTCTTTCTTTTTTTAACCTTACGTATCTTTTATATGTAAAGCCCACTTTAATGTAAAGGAGGGATCATACCAACCATTATACTACCCAACCTAATCCAATACTTGAAAAATAAGATGTAATCACAACAAGTCATGTGATCTATAAAACCTCATGGGACTCTCATAAATCATACACATTCTATCTATCCCATGATTCAAAAATCAAGCCCTAAACTGTTGCCCAATCCAAGATTATAAAAACCATATTATATTCTGAGCTAGGCTATGAATACATGATTAGTGTTGACCATATGTATTTTAATGATAATAAATTCATTGAAGGTATTAATGGTTTGGAGTATGTTTGTAAATGCAAATAAACAATCTTCATCTGAGCTTAACAAAGATGAAGAATAAATTATTTACATTAGGCAAGAAAGAATAGTCAATTAAAAAATAATTTAACATGGGTTTAAATAAGACCAAACTCAATTAACTAATCTTAGAAACCAATGGTTAGAGTTAAGTTTGGTTCTTAGGTTTTCCTATACTTTAACTAAGCAAAGATGTGAAATTTCATGTTTGGAAGCCTAAGAAATTGATTCCCCAACTTGTGGAATGGAAATCTCTAAGTGTTATATGATTGGAAGCTGACAAGTAGTAGCTTGCTAGGAGAATTGAGAAAGTAGTAGACTACTTTACACAAGAAAATGCTATGAATAGTGCAATAGTAGAAAGAAAGAGAAAAGTCACTCAGTAGTTGACTACCAATGACCCTATAATCAACTACCCTTAACAATAGTGACTTAGCAAGCTTAGTAGTCAACTACTGGCTTGTAGCAATTGACTACAACAGGAAGAACATATTCTTACATGATTTCTATTTGACCACTTGAGATTTAACAGCTCTTTCCTCTTGGGAAATGCAATGCATTAGACATCCTAAAATAACATTTTAGAATTGTACCAACAGAGGATTAATGAGTCATAATGTTCAAATAATGATAAAAAACGACTATATTGTTTTGCCTATAAAAATCTGTAAGGGTAAGAAATATAAGGGCTACTATGTGAGTTTTAAAGGGTTTTTGAAAAGAAAATAAGGGGGAATCGTGTGCTATTAAGGCTATGTTTGGCTTGAAGGAAAAAGTAGGGAAAGAAAAGGAAACATAAGAAAATCTATGCATGATTTGTAAAGGTTTCCCTACATTTCCCTTCTTTTCCCTATTTTTTCCTTCAAACCAAATACAGCGTAAAAGAATTCATATATTTGGTTTTCCCATGAACTAAAAGAGAAAAAAACTCTTGTGCTTCAAGGATGAAGAAAGCCTCATTTGAGCTCAAAGTACTTATAGTGTTATCTTGTATATTGGGTAGTTTTGGTTATATATATTTGCCTATTTGAGAGACATTTGATTTGTATCTAAGTTATCATTGTAATATTAGTTGTAACAAGTGGTGTTCAAGGCTAAGAGCACTGGCATGTATTTGATTGGGACTTGGAAGACCAATCAAAGTTAGACAAAGACTTGCAAGATCTGTTGATTCAAGTTAGGCAAGCACCTGAAGTTCTATTGAGTTCAAGTAGCATACATAAGTCTATCCAAGGTATTGTAGGCACCGAAAAGTTCTACAAATTATAAAGGCTTACCGGCACCCAAAAATCCAGTAGTGTTTAGTGGAATGCTTATGTGGTCTACTTAGGGAAAGAATGCAGATCAAGTTTGGCCGAATTTATATAAAAATCTTGGGTGTTCTTTCTTCTTCTTGTTCTTTATCTTTGCCTCATACACCCACACCTAAGTCATTTCGTTCCCAACATCAACACTTCACTACAACATCTAGTTTGCATTTAAAGTTTCAAAAAATGTAAAATCGGCATAGACAAAACATGAGAACCCAATTTACCTCCCTCGTGGGTTTAGAAAATTGGGTAAGAATTAGGGGTGTTCATTGTATGGTCTATATTGCCAAAATGGCACCAGTGGTTTGGTCTAGTCTAGCCTTAAAACGATTTGATTTGGTTTTAGAATTCCTCAGGTTGTAATTTTCTAATTTGATCTGATTTTCTAAATTTTAGAAACTAGGCCAAACCATAAACCAAAAGAGCCATTTATGTTTCACAAAGCGTGAACGTAATTTATATAATAGTAATAGGTGTAACTTGTTAGCATTTCACTTTGATATTTTAATTATATTTGTTATTAATGTAGGTATGCATATTATGTAGGCTTTCTAATTATATTTGTTATTAATTATATTTGACAAGACAATTTGGCAAAAAAAAAAAAAAATTGTACTGAAGGACCTAAAATGCTGCTAGTAGAAGTGGCAAAGATACCAAACACAGCCATAATCATTCTCCTTTACTTAAATAAATACACACACACAAGGACGGCAAACAAACAGAACCCTCCCTTATATCCTATATCGTATCTTTTGCCAAAAGTGAAGCTAATCTAATTTAGTTCTAATTAAAAGTTATAGGACTGCAAATGGGTCGAATTGGATCAGATACATGTAGATCTAAATTTTTGCTTGTCTATTTTTGAATTGGAATTGGATCTTATCTATCAGAATTTGATCTTATCTATTAGAACTTGTAGGATTCAAATTGAATTTGGATTGTCATCGACATTGAATGGTATTAGATAAATTAAACTAAAAATATCAAAATATTATATAATATAAATATAATGAATTAAAAATGACTTTGGTATTACTTTTTTCTGAACAGAATTAATTTAAAATTACTTATATGAAACTTTAGCAAAAACACAACGTTCTAATCAACTTAAAGGCTTTGGAAAAAATATCAACATTACTAGTAGAAGAAAATTTAAGTATATACAAGTACATAAGTAATATCTTAAAATGCTAGAGTGTGTAAAGCGTATTTGACGTTTGAACATGTGGCGCTTCATAGATTTGACACATGCACAGGACACACCTCAGTCATATTTACTAATTTTCATTCTTCCTCAACACACCGCGTCAGCATGTCTCTCCTTGTTCCATTACCTCCCACTCTACATTCTCTTTACTCTCTTCTCCCCTTTCCACCACTCCCATTAAACCATGTCACAATTCCCAACCCAACTACCTAAAAATATTCTTAGAATCTCTCTCCTAACATATCTCCTCTAAACCATTAGGAACTTATCATGTTACCCCACTCCCTAATCAATTCCTAAAATCTCTCTCCTAATCTATATCCACTCTCTCTCGTTTAAAATATTCATATTAATTAATAAATAGTTAAATACGGTTAATATTTAATTTAACCCATATTCAATGAGTATTAAATAGTTTTATTACAAAAAGTTAATAAATACGGTTAGTAAATTACGAAAAAATAATAAATACTTATTAATTAACTCATCATGACTTTTTTACTTTTTAAAGTATTTTGGGTAAATACTGTTATATTCATGTTAATTAATAACATTTTATAGAAATTGAAAACTCTAACTAATTTCTATAAAAATGAGAATTATATTTAATAATTATAAAAAAGTATAAAATTTTAGTTATTGCTATTATTATAGTTAATAACCAAATGCAGATGGGGGAATAAAATATTATAATGTTGGAAAATAAAATTATTAATTAATTTATATTAAGAAATAAAAGATAAATTAGCGTATTTTGTTAGTAAACTACTTGATAAAAAAATAAATATTTAATAACAATTTAAAATAATTTTCAACAAATCTCCATAGTTACACAAATGTAATAAGTTTTTCAAAATTTTTCATAAAACTATGTTTTCATAAAATAACATTTTGGAAATTAAAAGATATAATATTGTACTTTTGAAAAATTTTTGAAAGTTTATTTAAAATGTATTAAATAATTATTAGAATATGTTGGAAATTTTAGGAAAAATTATTACATTTCATAGGTTTTGGAAAAACTATTGAGAACTTATGTAATCTTCATCGTAAGTTATTGAAAATTACTTAAGATAAATGAGTATGGGAAAGGGAAAACTATAATTTGAACCAATAACTACACATATTATTAAGATAAATTAGTATAATATTGGAAAAGGGAAATTATTGGTTAGTTTATATTAGAAAATATAAGATAAATTAGTGTAATTCTATAAGTAAACCATTTAAAAAGAAACTAAATTATTTAATAACAATTTAAAACTAAATTTGAACATGCCCGGCACTAGGGACAGGGTAGGGAAATTTTGAGAATTCCCCATCCTTGATGAGAAGTGGATGCCTTTCCCTGAACTCACCCAACATTGAGGACGAGGTAGGGAAAATTCAAGTATTCCCTATCCCTAACATGGAGTAATTGTCTTGCCCTGAACCTGCTTGACTCTGGCGAGGAGGTGGGATGGGGTAGAGTGTCTTGATTAAAGGGTAGGGACAAGGATGGGGTGCCCTGCCCCGAACCCGCCCCATTGCCATTCCTATATAATTGTTAATTATTAGTGAAATTAAAAAAAAACTTTGTAATTATTTTTATTTATTTAAAGTCAATCAAAAATTTCATTTAAAAATAATGAAAATAATAACAAATATTAAAATTAGGGAAAATTCCCGATTAGTACCCTGTACTTTGGGCCTAGTGCCACTTTGGTCCTCGAACTTTAAAATGAGACAATTCAGTGCCTGAACTTTCAAAACATGACAATCTAGTACTTGATGTTAAGTAGTTGTTAACCAACCGTTAAGTGGCATTTGAAAAAGACACAAATGCCCTTTTAAGTGTCATCTAATTTTCTTTATCAACCATTCAAACATTGACAAAAAATTAACAGTCTCAAATCCTTGCCTCTTCTATTCAAGAAAGGGTTCACCAGAATGCCCGCTCAAACATGACCCCAACTTTCTTGAATGGAAAGGGCAAAGATTTGGGACTGTTAATTTTTTGTCAATGTTTAGATGGTTAATAAAAAAAATTAAATAACACTTGAAGGTTATTTGTGTCTTTTTCAAATGTCACTTAACGACGGGTTAATAGTTAGTTAATGGCAGGTACTGGATTGTCACATTTTAAAAGGCTGGGTACTTAATTGTTGCATTTTAAAGTTCAGGGACCAAAGTGGCACTAGGCCCCAAGTACATGGTACCGGAAATTTCACTTAAAATTACTACAATTAATTAATAAAATATAATTTATTAAAACATTTGTTCATAATAAATCAACAATAATTATTTTCTATAAATCAACATTAAATAAAAAATAAAATTATTAAAATTTTAAATATTAACAATAACTTTGAATATTTTTAATTAATTAACAACAATTTTTTATTATTAATTATTCAATTAATTAATAATAAGTAAAATTATTCAATCTTTCCGATCCCACTAGTATATATTGTTGCGTTACACAAGTTAGAGGTTCCACTTACCAATAGTATATAATTATGTTTTAATACGGTAAATACTCTAAAGGCTTTCAGATCTTTTCTTTAAACTATTTCGAAACATAAAATTAGTGAAAATACACGTTTATTTCTTCTTGCGGAAAGGTCCTCGAAAGAACAAATTCCACAATATTGAGCACTTAAAGAAAAATAATAAAGGCAAATCCGAGCGAAAACTAAAAACTTGAAAATGAGTTGACGATGAGGAGGCAATGGGGGAACCACATCATCATTGAATTGAATTGTAAATCAAAACAATAGAGAAGGGCATTAGTGGGAATGGGACCCTCCCCCTTCTCGTATATTATAATCACCTCCACCGCCTATTTTGACTTGCCAGCTTTTTATTATTTCCATACTTGGATCATGTGGTCGGTCTCAACTCCTCAAGTGGTTCAGGTTGCCTTCCTTTCAATTATCAAATTCAAAGTCGTCGTCGTCGTTGTCGTTGTCGTTTTTCTCTCTCCTTTCCTCTCTCTGCCACTGCCAGACAAAACACGCCATGGCATATATTTAAAGCCTAAGCTAAGGCGAACAGGGCCAGCCCAAAAGTCCGAGTGTCCAACTCCCTTCCTCCCTCTCTTTCGTCGAGTCGAGACGGTTGGACCCCACCAACTACCACCCGCCACCCACCTCCAGTAAATTAGCAGTCACGTTAGATGGATCGTCAACCGTCCCACACACGACACGTTCATAAAGAAACAAACAAACCTCTGCCATCCCCAATTCCCCATTGACCACTTCTTTCTCTTAAATAAATGTCTAAAGCTTGTAGCGCTCGCTGCTAGTTGGGCTGTGGAAATGAAAATTCAATTCAACCATTAACATAAATAAAGTAAAAGTGGCAACGTCAGATCGGATCTGATCAACTTTGCACAATAATCCATGATTAAAAAGAAAAAGAGCAAAAGCAAGGAAGACAACCCTCCTACTCCTCTTCTTCCATTTTTTTTTCACCAAATCCACAATCTTCTCTCTTACTCTCTCTCTCTCTCTCTCTCCCCACTTTTGGATTTGCAAGGAAGAAATAAAATAAATTAAACAAAGGGATCCAATATTGTACAGCGAACGAAAAAAATAACCCAGCATTCTCCTCGGAACTGAGCTTTCCTCTTCAGCTGTGCTGCTTCATTTCATTGTCTTCTTTTCCTCTCTTCTCACCTGTGTCCTATCTCTTCCTTCGCCAAACGATTTAAACTTTTTTGACGTTTCTTTTAAGCTTCTCTTAATAGTTTCTTCTCTTTTCTTTTCTTCCAAGTTCCAATTATGACTTAAGAGGACTCGAGGATGAGACCGGAACCAGAGGGCTCTGTAACAGATCGGGTGTGGTTGTGCTCGCCTTCGTAGGTGACGATCAGCATCGTTGGATCATCCAAAGCTCGTTCCACGTGTTTACGTGCGGGACAACCTCTAACGCTACTGCACTTGTAGTACCCCCTGATGAACCCATCACCATAACAAAAACGCGAGTTAGGTAGAAATCAAAATCAGGGAAGAACATTATAGAACTCGGTGGACTTTTAGATAGACTCGAACAAATTAATGAGTCAACTCGGAAGACGCATCCCTGCCTATTGGCAGGAACCAGGAATAACCGTACATCCAATTAATAGATTCTGAACAGTCAGTCGTCAAGTGAGACCACATAAAAAATGGAGACAGTCAACCACATAAAAGTCTACTTTGGAGATGGCGGGGAATCACCATCCACCATTAATAATTGTTCGTAATAATTCATGGCACAAGTGACCGAGTTTCATTTCAAAGAACCCGAGTCAGCGATTCCAAATAACGAGTCACGAGCACAGGTTTAAGGAAAAAAAGAAATAAACGGCAAAGCAGAAGACCATGGGTCCAGAACTATAAAGAACAAACCTTGGATGCGGGGATCCTTTAATGGGTTTTTGTCCGTACTTCCTCCATGAGAAATCATCAGGAGGGATGTCGGCCATCTTCAAGCTTATGGCGGGAACTTTCACCACCCTCTTCACCCTCGATTTCCTGTTTAACAGATCAGATTTAACAGCTTCGGATCATCTCCCAAAGATAAACAGAGAAAAAACAAAAGGAAAGGGAAGATGGGAAAACGACTTATTACCTTCGCTTGGAGCAATGGCACCGCCCAGAAGAGACTCCGCACTTGCCAGCCGCGTCATCAGACGAGTTGCACTTTCTCTTCAAAGAAGATGAGGACAAAGGAGGACGTCCGGCCGTGGAAACTTGCGAGAGATGGGTAATCTGAAAAGCGGACGACGACGAGGGCTGCTTGCTGTCGGTATCGCCCGTCATAGACGACATAAAAGAATTTGCGGCAGAAATGGGGGGAGAGGATGTGAAACTAATTGTGGTCGCTGATTCCTTCCTCTCGATGACGCCGTTCTTCGGCAAAGAGAGGGGAGGATGGTTGTGGCTACTGTTGTTGTTATTCTGATGGTGGAGGTGGTGATGGTGATGAGGAGGAAAAGGAGGAAGGCGTTGGATGGACGTAGTAGGACAGTAAACCCTAGACCCAGAAGGCTGCATGTCCTCCTCTTTATGAGTGAAGGAAACGGAAAAGGAGTGGTCGGTATCATGGTTCTGTTGGGGGGGAGGAGAACTACCCAAAGGACCCCTTCTGAATCGAGCGTGACCGGTTCTTGTCCGACCCAGTAAGGAAATCACTTTCTTAAATTTGGTTACGGCTACATCTGCGACGGCCCTGCAATCCATCTCCATCTCCATGTCTGCTTTAGGGTGTTGCTGCTGTTGCCTCTGGGAGAGCAACCTTATGAGCTTTTCGACGCTCTGAAGGCCAGCAGAGGCAGCTTCTTCGACTGCATTCTCCTCCATGTTTGCTGATGCGAAGCTATCGCTCCTGTAACCCATCATGAAATCCACCGCCATGCTTGCAGAAGCATCCACTCGATAAAGATAAATAGATCTTGTTGGAAGGAAGGGGAGGGGGGAGGCAAGAAGAGAGAAAGAGGAT